TTCCCTTGTTCTAGGGTAACTGTCATGACTACTCAGTTATAAAAGCACACAGGTCTCTTAGCCAACTGTAAAACAAAATAGCCAAAAGTGGTGGAGGAAAACAACATATTTGAAAAAGTGACAGGATTTTAGCGGCAGCAATGTCATGCTTGAAGAAGGTACACGAAATGGAACTTGAGAAGTATAAAAACAGAGGGTGAGGAGAAAAGAGCAGATGTGATCCTCAAGGAAAATGCAGTGTGGTTTTGACACAAAGTGAAATGCAGCAGCAATGATTGGAATGCAGGCAAACAGAAGCTGTCTGTTTTCTATGCCCAAACCGTATCAAATGGTCCCCTGCACATTTCATGGTAAACTGTATTCAGTGGCATCACACTAAGCTAATGTGCTCACCTTTGGCAAGCTCTGGATAGCTCCCTTTGCTTGGATAAATATTCAATAACTAAACTTTTCCCCAAAACTCTTTTAATCTGTAAACACAGAGGTAGGGTGACTCCGCACATAGAAATCTTTACTTTCCTCTCTCCCAAAGTCATCTAAACATGGGGCTCCCATGGTGAACCTGCACTAAAATAGGACAATAAGCATGTGTGTATTTGCATTTTAATACAGGATTCCATCCCTGGCAGCATTCAAGGCCAGGTTGGACAGAGCCTTGGTTTAGTGCGAGGTACCCCTGCCCATGGCAGTGGGGTTGGAACTATTCTATGACTGACTATTCTATGATTCTACAATTCTACGTCAGCTATTCTCCTTATAAACCATACTCACCTAACTGATTTACAGACTGATTGCACCAGTGAGCAAAAATCAAGATCTTAAGCACAAATACTTACTGTAGATGTTTACGTTAAGCATCATGCACAGCAGAGTCCACTGAATGGACATTACAGGCTTTTTTCCAAGGATCTGAGCTCCTGCTGCCCATGGACTTTTTACCTGTAGCACTCAGAGCCCAAAGTTCAGTTTATACCTTAAATATATATAAACCACAGATCCATAGCATCACAGAAAAGGAGATTCTGTTTTGTGCTCTAATATAAAACACCCATTGCCGTTTAAGTTGGATATGTTAACGAGGCACAGATGCAAGCACTTGTTATTCCTGTCCTATCTCCTGTCTCTACTCCCAGCAAGGCTTTTGATAATTCAGCACAGCTCTAAGTATGTAAAATCAGTCAAGCACATCTCAGGAATGGTGCAAGGAAATTCTGTTTCAGTAAAGTAACCTTGGCCCATGGCAGGAATTAAGTAACTCTTTGAATCAAAATAAATTACTTTGATTTAGAGACCAAGAATATCATGAGGTGGAATATGTTATGAAAGCCTATTCCTTTTCATCAAATAAAATCTATTCCCTGAGGTTCATGGTCAACTTCTACTGTATACTCTTTAACCCAGAAACTAAGCAAGTAATGTTTTGGAAGATGAGCAAAATCTCAGATTTTCAGAGAAGGCCTTGTGCTCAAGCTGGGTTGTTTGGCTGATTGTTTGTGTTCAGCAATACAGATAAATCACTATCCCTAGAAATCTCAGGAATAATGAATTCTGCAGTTGGGACTCTGGTGCTTAGGTTTCCTATCTGTAAGAAAAGTTGAAATCCATCAGTAGGTAACCTTGGAGGTTTTTGGTTGTTTGGGTTGGGTTTTTTTTGGAGGAGTGCGGGAGTTTTTTGGTGAACTGGTTTTGGGGATTCTGTTTGGGGTTTTTGTTGTTGTTGTTTTCAGGTTTAGGGTTTTTTTAATATTATTTTATTTAGAAATAAACTCTTAAGTCCTACATAAAGCTTTAAATTGCTTAAAATTAACCAACTAATTTTAGTGAGAACTCTGTTTCATTCAAATGGTATGATAAATATGACATTTACCGAAGTTTCTTGACAAATAAAGGTCTTTTACCACATAAGGAAAAAGAAAAGCATACCTATACCATTGACCTTAGAAGACCAGCTAGCAAGCTTCAACATCCACAGGGTGTCCTACCCAAGGTCCCAGATAAGCTTGGTTGTATTACCAAAGACTGATTCGAAAGTGTATCTGGATGATATACTTTGCAAACATTTACCTTTGAAACACCAGAAACACACAATGTTGCTATCTAAAGGAAATACATGATAGATACTGTTTCTTGGGAAAATGGAAACCAGGTAAGCACCTAAGTAAAAATCTCAAAGCAATTCTGATACGGCTTTGTCCTTACAACCAGAAGGTCTTATGTAGTTCAGCTTCATTAAATTCAGTCACCCAAACACAGTTGTCTGCTGTCTCCGAGATGCCCTAGTGTAGCCTGCCTGGCATTGAGCTGCTGGTCCAGAAGGACATTATCTACCATAGATGCTACTAACCCTGTTGAGTGCTGGAGTATCTCAAAAGCATGAGGTCTCAACACTGGACCCTGCATGTCTAAGTTCAAACTAAATAGCACTGCATAGCAACACAAATCAGCTTAAAAGCACAACTGCTAGTACCCATGCTTGTGGAGCTAGAAGGAACTTTGCCACCACCACACAGAGGTAGGCACAAGGTACTTGATGTTCACAACATTCAAATACATGTATCCAAAATTAAATGAACCACAGCAGAAAGAAGAAGAGGAAATAAAATGCCAACATAAAATAAACAACAAGCCCTCTAAAAAGAACAAGCTTGATCAACCACAATTAAAACAAGAAACACTACTCATCATACAGTTATCTCTTAAAAAGTTTCTTTCTGATGGTCATGCTTCTGTTTGTTATTCTTAGTACATTATTACCAAGTACTTCAGTGTTAGCCAAATCTAGTGTAATGCTCCCTAGCAGGGGAACTGTGATGATCATTCAATCATTATTACTGTATTATTTTCTTATGAGTTTTATCTTATTGTAGGACTTACTTTTAAAATTCTTCTGTATTTCTATTGCGCTATCAACTCGTGGCACAGCCCTCCTATTTCTAGCACTGTGCATGCAGGCACAGACAACAGGCTGACAATCCCCCCATCTTGACCATTTATGAATAAGCCAAAAATCAACAGGCAGATGAAATGAACAGCAATAAGGCATGGCAAAGAAACAAGAAACAGGACACGCAACAGTCTCAGTATTTTAAACAGCCTAATCACTTCCCTGCTTCTAGCAGTGTTACAGAATGCTACTTTTAAGCAGATGTTTGAAGAAGGTCAGGGAGCTGATGGATAGTGTATTTATAAGGAAACCCCCAACTCGCAGAGGAAGCACAGAAGGTGCTTGTGAGAAAGGCAGCAGAAGGGTGGAAGAAGTCAGCAGCACCTGCAAGGCAGAGGTGGGTGTCAAAATCTCAAAAGCATGTAAGACCTAATAGGCAGACATAGTGATATCATGAAGCGTAAGAGGGGTGACCATGTCCATTAGAAACACACATAGTAAGGGAAGCATTAAAGGCTCAAAACAAATGTTTGCATTCAGTTTGGATCACCTCACTTCCTCAACCCTTGAGTTTTAGCAATGGCTCAGAAAGGAGCACCATGTCTGTGGACCACATGCATCAGATACAAACATTCAATAATCCCAGAGTTCATGGTTTCCCATGTTAGAATCCACTCTACTCTTTTCCCCATCAAAATACATCAACAGCTGTTTAAGCACACAATTATGTATGTTAAAACCTACTTTAACATACATAACAATCTCCTTTTTATACCCCTTTCTTGCTGCCAAGAGAAGAGTGGAAAGATAGCGAGTGTGTCTCAACATGACAGCAAGAACAGCATATTTCCTGACAGCAGGAAAGAGAAGTGCTTCTCATTTCCCAGGAACATTTTGGTGGGTAGGGAGATGCTGTCTTGCAGGTATTTTTTTCTTCCATTAAACTGGAGAAATTTGTGCCAACCCCTAAAAAAATAATCCAATCTCAACTAAACCGACCTCAGCTAAAAAAAAAAAATAATAATCTAGCTCAAGGTGAGGTAAAATATTCAAGCTTTGTAATATTTCTCCCCTGAAATCATTAGAAGAGCAGCTGCACTATTTTGTAGGCATTCTTAAGTTACTAATGCTAAGTCAACAATAAAAAATGCTCCTGCTTTGGTCTTTATTAATTCACAGATATTTAAAAAAACTGTGCTTAATCCTAATATTTGGGGACTACAAAGTCACAACAGCTCTACTTTTGACCACATTGCTACTCCATAAAGCACGCACCCAAGTGCAATAATGCACACGTAGTCCTTCTGACTTTGGCCTCTGCCACTCTCCAGCATTCCCTGATGAATATAAGAGCATACAACAAGAATTTAGCAAGTTACAAACTGGTCCTTGCAAAGGTAACCTAACCTCGCGAAGGCAAATTAACCTCACAAAGGTAAACCCAGATACTTGTGTAGAAGAAGTATGTTTATCATAATTCATTCAAACTCCTACTGCTTGAAGAAAATTGCAGACAGTGTGGCTGTCAACCTCAGTTCATGTTGGAAAATCCCAGTATCACATTTTAAATAGTATTTTCCAGTTTATTCTACCTCAACCCCTTCTCACTGCATTCTGTGGATCTTAAAATCCCTTGAGAACTCATGTCACAACTCACAGCTAACAAATGGATGCTGCTGGGTACATTCCTACTACCTCTGCCCTCAGCCCCAGCCCCATGGTGAGAAGGGCACAAGCAGCATCCCCAAGTCCACAAACACTGAGATCCCTGCATACCTTTTCCATTTCAACCTAGAGAATCCTCAAGTAAACTAGCACAGGACCCACCAGGGAAAACTGGGGGAGACCATCATATCTGTGCTTGAGCAGCCCCACCAGCTCCCAGAGCTGAGGGGAGGGGTAGGGCTTGACCTTCAGTCACCATGCTGCAAGCCCTGTACCATCCTGCCTGCTGGAAGAACGAGGAGCCAGCAGTAAGTTTATTACAGGTGTTAATAATCAAATCATCGTTGCTAGGCTTGACTTCTGCCTGCCAGATTTAAATGCCACTCATCACAGGAGCTGTCCAGGGCTCCTGGAGGAGAGGAAGGTCGTGCACCAGCCCCTTACACCTTACCTTGACGAAGAGAGAGATGTCGTGTTCCTGTTTCTCCTCCTCATCTTCCTCTTCCTCCTCCAGGGCGGCAGGCGAACCTCTCTCGTTCTCCTCGTCCTCCGCCCGGCCGTTAAGGCTCCGACCTGCCGTGTCCCACTCGCCGCCCTCGGGGCCCGGGGACCCGCTCCGCTGCTCCGCCGCTCCCCCTGCCCCCGGGGACTCTCTCCCTTCTTCCGCCACTGCCGGTGCACCGGCTCCCTGCTCCGCCACCGCTGCCTCCACCTCGTCCTCGCCGGCGGGGCCCACCGACGACCGGCGTCTGCCGTCGGCCTCTCCTCCGGCCGGCAACGCCACCTCTGCTTCCCCGCCGCTACTGGGAGCCACCTTGCTCCCCGCCGGGGCCACCGCCTCCTCGGCTGCTACCATGGCTGCCTCCTGCACCGCATCCTCTGGGTCTTTCCCAGCCGGTGCTGTGTCTGCAGGCTCCTCCCGCACCGCTTCTTCGAGATTTGTCCCCACCGGCTCTATCCCCGCAGGCTTCTCGAGGTCTGTCCCCGCCGGAGCTTCCTCCCTCACCTCCTCCTCGGGGTCTGGCCCCGCCGCCTCTTCGGGGTTTGTCTCCCCCGGGTCTTTTGCCATCGTCTCCTCGAAGTCTGTCCCCGACGGGGCTTCTTCTCTCACTGCCTCCTCAGGGTCTGTCCCTACCGGCACTGTCCCCATCTCCTCCTCGAGGTCTGGTGCCACCGGGGCTGCCTCAACCTCGCCGGGCTCCGTCCCCGTTAGGGCCATGGCCGCGTCCTCGGGCTCCGTTCCCACCGAGGCTGCCTTGTCGGGTTCCGTCCCCACCGGGGCTGCCTCTTCGGGTTCCGTCCCTGCCGCGGCTGTCCCCTCGGGCTCCTTACCTTCCGGGGCTGCCTCCTCGGGCTCCGTGTTCACCCGGGACACGGCCGCGCCCTCGGGTTCTGCTCTTGCTGGCGTGGAGACCTCAGGCACGTCTATCCCCGCGGCCGCCTCCAACGGATCCCCTCCCGGCAGATCCTCGCCCCCCGGGATTTTCCCGTCGGGAACTCGTTGCTCAGCCCCTGCCGGAGGCTGCTGCTCTGCGCCTGGCCCGCCTGACATCTCCGCCGCCCCCTCGGGGAATCCGCTCCCCGTCCCGGCGCTGGAGCCCGGGGCCACCTCCGCCTCGGCCGCCTCCTGCCCAGCCATCGCCACCCCGCTAAGCCGCGGCTCCTCGCAGTGGAAGGACCCGTCCGAGGACTCCGCCGTCCCCTCTGTGGACACCCCTGGCTGCGGCTGCCCGGCGGCCGCTTCCTCATCGCCTCTTTCCCGAGGGACATCGCTTCCCTCCGGCGGCAGGCAGCCGGGCCGTCCGGGGCTCTCCGCCATGCCGGCGTCTCCACGGGCCGCTGCCCGAAAGCGCAGCAACACAGGCGCGTCCGCCCGCCGGAACGAACGGGAAGGCGAGGAGCCGGCGCCGGGGATCAGCACCGGGCACCGACGGGGGGGACGGCGGCGCCTGCGCAGGGCCAGCCCCGGGCCCGCTGCGTGGGGGGGGGGAGGAGGGGGGCAGCACAGGTGCGTGCGCTCCTCCTCCCTGCCGCGCCTGCCCCGCACACGGCAAGGTTAGCACTCCCTCGCCCCTCGCCCCACACCTCTCCGCCGCGGCAAAGCTCCTCTCCACTGATTTTGGCTGTAGGTGGCACGGGAAGAGGGGCGAGAGCCTAACCGTGACCGCGACCTCGGTGGCACCAAGCGCTGCCAGCCTTCTCTCCTCTCGGCCATCTCCTGCCTACCTGCCGGCTGCTTGCAGGTGCTCGGCGGGACTGGAGCCTTTCCAAAGAGTGCTCCAAAACTTATCCCTTCCTCGCAGCTCCCCTCTAGCAGCCCCACTGGGTCTGGACATGCCTGCTAAGCACCTGCTGCCCTCCTGTGCTTTGCCTCCCCCACCCCAACCCTCCCAAACTCTATTTCCACCCTTGCTTTTCCCCTTCGCTGCTTTTCACAGCCACAGGCACAACGTCACTTGCAGCCCCCCAGACGCCCTGCTGCTCTCCCCAGGCAAAAGCCTTGCGATGCTGACAAGTGGGACCGACAGCCACCCAGAGGCTGAGGGCTTGCTGGCCACCGGAACAAGGAGTGGATGCCATTCCTCAAATCCAGGTTTACAAAGGGAACCACTAATCCCCCTGCTGCTGCTGATGCACTGAAACTGGCAGAGCTCCAACAGTCTTGCAAGGGTTTCTTAAAAACACAGATGAACCAATACTTCATCTCAGCATGTATTCAGTATCTGAAGCGTATTCCCAGGTCTCTTTAGGCTGCACCAAACATTGTGAAGAAAGAAAAATATCAACTTACACAGATCCAAACTCTGTGTAAAAAAACAACCCCCCCACCTAGATTTGCATACTTTTAAGTAGCTTTTCTTCATATGTGACCAAGTGAAGCACTATGTGCCTCTGTGAGTTTGCATTTAAATGTGATGAGAAATAGCATGTCGTGTGCAGAGAGGGTAGCTGGTGTGAAAGAAGCACTGATTTCTAGCTTGGGTAAGGCAGCTTCAGGTTTATCCCACAGGCCTTCTTCTGTTCCACACATCTTTTCACACTTCTGGTAATTTCTCTGGCTTCTGGAGGCCCTTTACAGAAATAAGGACAATCAGCAGGCTCTGGTGTGAGGATAAGCTGCAGCAGATTTGTTGGTAAGAAAGAAGACATTTTCTAGGAGATCCAGCCAGCTCTAGTCCCACTCTTCTCAGAAGTGATTTATGAGAAAGCATTACTTAAGCTATTGGAATGGAAAATGGTTTTCTAGGTGCAGAGACAACAGTGGATGGCAAATTCAGCTGAGAGGAGTTAGGTATCATATTTTAAAAACATGCAGTTAAACAGTTTTATGTATGTGTATGTAAACCCGCATTTTTATGTCTGAGAGTGAAAGGAGCAGAGACAGACTGAACACACGGGTTTAGAATGGGTGGGAAGGGAGAACATGCAGTCAACAGGAGATGGGAAATACTATAAAATAAATCATTCCATCAACACCTGTTCTGAGAAAAAATAAATAGACAACAATACAGTAAACAACCCTGAAGCTAGTTTTCACAGAAGTTATGCTTGCCCAGGGGTGCATTGCCAGTGAGACAAAAGAACAGGAGCAGTTGTGTTCAAAAGAGAGGCTTCTTGAAGATTTGGAGGCTTAGCATCTGGCAACAGAGGTATTGCAGCTGGACCCATTATAAGGCAGTTATTTCACTTGTCTTTTATGGGTTCTGATATTGGTAGAATGACACATCTCTGACACCTTATTTATACATAGATAATATTGGTTTACTTGTCCTAACCCTTGCTGAAAGGTTCTAATTGCAGAGCTTATTCATTAACACAGTATCCTATTTTTCTTTATTTGTCTGTTTCCTGCTCTGTAGCTCATGGTATGAAACAAGGTGAGGGTTTCAAGGCCAGCAAAAACCCTTTCAGTGATAAACACTGCCTCATAGTTAACATCGGGCATGTTCAAGTGTAGCAAAAGATTAGCTCTTTAAATACCCATGGAAGTCTGAAAAAGGAGGACCAGAAAAAGATCAACAGCTGTCAAGAACACCTTGACAGACAAGGTGGTGTTGTCTCTGTAGGACAGAGAAAAGTTTAAGGTATAGTGTTTGATACAACTACCTTTTTTCTGTAGTAATGATTGCTAGTTTGTAACAGATCTTGCTGTGTTTTTCCTCAAGAATAGGAACAGACATTTTAATTCTGCTGGAGATGACACCTAGCAGTGACGTGTGCAAGCACTGGGTTAATGTCACTGATCTAGCAGGTCAATTTGCTGGTCCCCGTGCAAGCAAGACGGAGTAGGAAGTCTGAGAGGCAGGAACAGGGTAAAGAGTGTTGAGGTAGGCACAGTTCAGAGGAGAGCTGACCAGTCAGCTTGACATTGCTCACCCTTCAGCATTGTGGTTTCACAAAGGCAGTTTTGAAAATGCACCATTAAAATTGGATCTGTCTCAGTGAAATCCCAGAGCTTTGGATATCTGTTGTTTTGTGCTCACTGCATTCAGCACTCTCCCCCTCTATCTCACTTATTTAACAATTAATCTCTCCAGCTTCACACTCCTCCCGTACACTACCTTCAAGCTCTTTACACCCCATCTGTTTCTAAAATAGGTCCTTAGCTAATAAATACTATTTTCTCAGTTCAGCTTCAGAAAGGATTAATGCAAAACTTCTTAATTTAAAAGATAAGTGCAGGTAATTAAATATCACAGATGTTAGACCTTAGTGGACAACATGAAGATCCCTTTATAGTCTGTTAGCCAACAAGTTATATCCGTGGGGGAATATCTCAATTAGGCTGTACTTGCTTGGTTATTGTAACTTCCTTTCCTGGTTTACAAGGAGTTGCAGACAAAGGTTGTAGTTTTTGCAGCCTGAGGTAAGGAAAAAATGCCTATGGAATTACAAGGGTCTCAGAGAAAGCCCTCCCTACCAGCCTGCCTAACTCCTGGGACAGGTCAGCCTCACCACAAAGGGAGCAGACTAGGGTGTTTGTTCATGCCTCTGAGAATCCAGTTCACAGTCCTGTGCTGTGCCAAACACACACATGCCAAATATTTAATGCTTTGCCCTAAAAAAAAAATGGAGTTATGGACTCAGCAAGGCTTTTGCTTTTTGCCTCCCTGTGCAGGGCACTGCCTCCCACAGAAGCTTGCTCTGCCTGTTCCCTGGTGCCTGCTCTGATTGAAGTTGTGCTGTTTCAGTAAGCGTATGTATCTGCTCTTCTAGAGTTTGCCGCAATTCAGAAGTGAAGCTACATGTTCCCAGGCCAAAAGCTGCCTGCACGCCATTTGAATTCTGCTTGTTTCTGCCAGATGCTAACTAACTATTTTGCATTGAAGCCAGAGCGAAATAGGGGTGAGCAGAGCTTCCAGAAACCAGGGGGCATTTAACTGGGTTCCCCACCATTGGATGGAGGGAGGGATTTATCAGAGCAAACATAGACAGGTACAAACTTCAAGTCTGCAAACCCTGGGGCCAACAGAGATCTAGTGAGCAGAGTAAGTGAAACGATTCCTCTCATCCCAAGGTAGATGTCTAAAGCAGACCAGATGGTCCTCGATAGAAAAGTGCCTATTTCTCTACACTGTACAAAGACCTGAGGGTGATTGGCTCAGAGGGGTGATGTCTGTGCTAAACACATCTAAACCCATATGAGATGAATTCTATCCCAGGTGATTCCCTTACAGACTGAAACTTGAAAACGGACAGTCAGCAAAACATGGGCCAAAGCCTGATTACTTTTTTCTGCATTATTGTTATTGCAGCTGGTGGTTTAACTGGAATTTTTACAAATTATTTGTGGTATAAAACATTATTCCCTGTAAGAATATGACTGCCTAGCCCAAAACTATATTAACATTTGTATGTAAGCCAGTTCTGTATTCTTCCATTTAAAATGTTGTTTCAGCTATGGAAAAGACAAAATTGCAAGTGAAAAAATAGTATTGGAGAACTATAATTTTTAGTGCTTCCAAACTACATGTATGTTTGCTATGTTAGTCCCTGGTTTCTCAAACTTGTGTCAAGAAGTCAGTGTGGCATTCCTTTGCTTCATGGTCAAAAGGGTGTTTAGTCTACCCAAACAAATTAAAAGGGAGAGATGCCTTGTTGAAAATCACAGCAGCATGCTGCATGTTGCGGTGGGTGTGTGATGCCATCTGTATTTAGTGTTCTGAGCTTCCCAGCACTAAGCTGATTAGGGGCAATTGGCTCCCTTCCCAGCTGCTTAGAGGCAGTCTGCTTGGGAAGAACCTAGGGATGTACACACGCAAGGTGGGGAAAAGCCTGGTGGTGGCCTAGAAAGCACAGGAAGACAAGCTACCTGTAACCAAGATTGAAAAAGCAGAGAGAGCAGATGCATCTTCTTGCCAGATACTACCAGTCCCTCTCTTCCTTCAGTTTGTTACTCAGTTCCCTGAATTCCTGGCACCTCACAAAGCCACAGGCACCAAAGCAGCCTGTACTTAAATTCTGAATAAAATGTTCTGAAGTGTGTTGGAAAAATAGAAGACTATCAATAATAAAGCTTTCAGGAAAAGAAAAAATAAATAAAAGGTCTCTGTACTGCTAACTATTTTAGGTACTTAAAACCTGTTCATTCTCTCATTTTCCAATAGAGTCTTTGACTTTCCTATTCTTATATTTCACTTTTATTTTTGCTAGCAATACTGTTTAAATGAAGCAATAATGTCCTCCATCTGCAGCAGGAAAGATAACAAACAGACCTTATAAGTAGTTTTTTTTATTGCCAAGTATCATCTCTAATTCAATAAAAAAGTGGCTTGGAATTAACTTTAGAAGTGCCCCAGAAGCATCAAGGTCCTAGAAAGCCTGATGACTGTGCTGGAGCCTTGTATTATCTTGCTTGCTAGCTAAAAATGGCCAGCTTGGCACTCAATTGGTTGTTAGCCATATGTCTGGCTTGAACTCTGGACCTGGTATCATTTTGGACAACTCTGGGCTCTGCCCAGGCT